AGCTGATTTCAGCCCTCCACAAATCCAACAATTAGATCATCCGAATTCTGTAGCCATCTCTTGTATTAGATCTACAAAAAGGTTCTTGTTTGAGGTAGGTAGGTAGGTTCCAATTACCATACTAATTACCAAGTTCTAACTCTTCCTATTGTTCATTTAATGCTTTTAGCTGTTCTTGTTCTATTTCTTTTTTTGCCTCTGCCTTTTGTTTCTCTGATTCTTGAGCTGTCTGTTTTCATTGACTTTCTGGATCTACTCCTTCTCCATCTCTTGCAGAACAGAAAGTTGTACTGTATCATAAGCAAATTCGCTCATCATTACTGTCGAGAAGGTTAGTTATTACGGGCTCATTGCTGAGAGAAACTATTTGACCATATTTCAGATTTTCTCCAACCCAATACATTTTACCTCCCATCCTACACACTTTTGGTTGGCTGTGATGATAGCATATTGCACTAATTTGGGAATGTGCCATAAGCATTGATTCCATTCTCCCTCCGATCCATACTGCATGGTCACATTTGTTCCAAGTGGGAACAACAGGCTCTAATCCAGCAGCTCATTTGTGTCATGCATGGGCCAGGATTTTCTTCCTTTCTGCTGTAGATTGCACCTCTAACCACTGATTTTTAGCTGTCGCTCTTGGGTCATGGCAGGTTACTCTTTTTTTGATTTGGCACATTTGATACCGAGTGTGGTTATGCTCACACTCCCCTATTTTGCTGCCCATTTTGCAGTCCTAGTGTGTGCCATATGCCAGGGTTTCTGTGAGCCTTTGTTTTTCCAGGGTGTTTTTAAAACACTGCCTACAGTCTTGGGTTGAGCTTTGCTTCTCAACGCTGGGGTAACTCCTGGAGAGCAGACTGATAGTTCTGCCCATGATCAGACTCAGAACCACCAGGGTTCCCCACACATGTACTCCTGTGCCTCTGCCTATGCCCACAGGGTTGCGGCCTGCGGCGAGGGAGTTCATCTTCTCGGCAGCAGGGCTGTCCTTCAGGGGATCCATGGCTGGAATCAGCTGCAGATTTTCCCTTAAAGGCATCCCACCCTGATCTTTGGACTGCATCAGCATCACAGGGTCCATTGTTTGTTCACCAACACTCAGTTAGAAGCACTTGTGCCTTTGATCTCAGTTTCCCTCTTCCCCCTTCTTGATCCAATCCATACCACTCCAGGGAATCTAATTCCAATATGCCCAAGTTAGTAGCGACCACTCATGAATTGCTGGTTCTAGAGGTTTCTTCTAGCCAGCACACTGGACAAAGCCCTTTCTTTTCCTTTTGCTCTCAAACAAGACACTTAGATGGAATGGTATAATAGAAACAAAGATGTTTCCCTGTTGTCTATCAGGATGGGTGGGAAGTGCCACCACATCCAGATAGCACGGCACTGATTTCACTTCCACCGTGCAAATGACTTGCAGGAGCAAGTCAAGTAAATTCTGTGCTGGAACAGTGAAGTTCTGTCACACTAAATCAGGTGGATGCCTCAAGGGTTTTATACCAACTTTGCACCTAAGTTGGTGCTAAAGAAGTTTCTAAGGTCCAACACAGACCTAAGGTTTGCACAGCAGAGTTTAGGCTGACAGCTAAGGGAGCATCAATTCAATGGTCTTTCCAAGGCAAAAGACTGATGAGAAATGTTGGTATTCCTGCTCTCCTTCCTTGTTTACAGTATAGCAACATATTGGATGAGATTTTGGAGTTGCAGCTCTGAATTGTGGCCAGATGAAGACACATGAATGGTTGTGCATTTTTCATTGTGGAGGTCAATATCAGTGTAGCTGCTTCTGATAATACAAAAAGCTCTTTCAAGATACTTCTTCAAAGAAATGTCTTTTCATTCTTAACTGCACAGCCTCCTCCAGGATGTACAGCAAAAAGGTTATCTGGATTGTCTTTTCACAAGAACAGGAAACTCCCCCTTGAATCAGCCTGTGATTCAAGTGTGTCAATTAGAGTTTTCTTAAGTCTCTGGGTGAGAAAAATAAACTTGAAGGTTGAAGCTAGTTTAAGAAAGAAGAGGCGAGATGGAGGAATTAGGGCGTTGTCTCCTTTTCCTTCTTCATCTCCTTCTTCATCTTCTTCTTCTAGAGGTTTTTGGGTAGTAGTAAGTGATTGGATAAGGAATGCCGCAGTGCAGTGAGCAGGTGTTGGGTCATTGGGTCACTAAGAAAAATCATTGACTTGGCATTTGTTAATTGGGTAAATGGACATATCAAAAACCTTGAAGATCTTTGTTAGCCATTTGGCACCTTTCTATATTTTAGTGCACTTAGCTACTTGTACCTTGTATGCATGTAATGCAGATCAAAGAAGAATAAACAACCGAGTGCGAACAAGAGAAAACTGCCTCTATCTCATCAGTCTCAGTCCAAGGGGGAAAAAGAAGCCAAGCACAAGTGTCCCATCAGGACAGAGGCTCAATCTCCAATCAAACGGGACTTTGTTCCAGCTTTTCCCTTGGAGCAGCGTGCAGCAAGCACACCTGGGCCTCATTCAGCTCTCTGTGTGGGCTGGCAGGCAGCTTCTGTTGGGAATTTAAAGCTTTTCCTCTACTTTCCACAGCAAATAAGGGACCTCACCCAGCTGCACCAAACCCCAAATTTCACTCTAAAAATAACCATTTGCATTTTCCTCCATTCCAGCCCTGAAGAAAACAAACTTCACTTGCGGGAGCTGGCGGCACAGTGTCCTCCAAGACCATTCATGAGTAGGACAATATTGCAGGGGAAGAGCGGCAAAGCCAAAGTTCACTGATGCTTAGGAAGCTTTGCAAAACCTTCCCACCTGTGCTGGTGTTGCACCCTCCTGAGCTCCTGGAGCCCTCACTCACCTCAGGCGCAGTTTGGACAGCAAGGGGATGGTTCAGTTTGTGCCAGGTGGGGACAGCAGGAGGGAAGACTTTGCACACACTGTCACCAGGGCAGGGCTGTTTTCCTTTATGGTGCCACGCGGTAGCACATAATCTTTGATTTCATGGGAGTGAGGGAGGTGCTGAAGGGCAAAAATTCCCTGTGGGAAGGACATCTTCCACTCACACAGCAAGGCAAGTGAAGGGGAAAGTGCAATCTCTCTTTCCTGGAAGGTGTTCAGCTTTGAACAAACCAGTTTTGCTGAAGATGAGCCCAGGCAGTGGTGAGTTAGAGCATTTGATCCAACTCCCAGAGTATCCTCACATCTGTTTGGACACAATTTCTCTTTGTATTTTCATGGTGAATGCTTTCTCCTGCCCCGCTGCCTCCTGCTTGGAGTTGTACGCGCAGCAGAGTCCCAGAGTTTTCTCAGCAGGCCTGTGCAGCGAGTTCTGAGCCAACGTGTGGCTCTGCTGCCATCCCAAATCTGCGCTTTCCTTGCCCAGCCTGAGCGCAAGTGGGGCATGTGCTGGGCGTGGCTGGAGATTTTCATCACCAAAATCCTCCAGCGTCAGGGCATTTCCATCTGCCCATTGCTTTGGAGAGCACAAATCACAAACCACCCATCTCAGCTGATAAATGTCATTGCTTGCAGATTGCTGCAGCCGCACAGCTGAGCTACAAATACACATGAATCCATTTCAGTTGAAAAATGTCATTTATTACAAATTGCTACACCTGCGCTGACAATACACAACTATCAAAATCTCCATTAAGTTGAAAAAAAGTCATTTATTATATTAGCACAACAATGCCACGTAAAAATATACAAATACCAACTTCAGTTAGCAAAAACTTCACTTATTGCTAACCTCTACAAGTCACTATAGACAACGATCAATGAGGTGTTTAACAACTTAATTTATTACAGATTACTACAAGCTTACAGCCCATATAGAAATACAAAAATATCAGTCTCCCTCTAAATAACCCTGTACTAAGAATTCGATAGATAGAATTATACAACTATACCACTTCATACATGTTTAAATAGAACTAAATACCTCTATATATACATATATAACAATCTACAGATGGAAATACAGATTAAATATTACATATTTCATACAATATATATACATATAGATATATAAAACAAAACTATTTGAAAAGATACAAATGTCACTGTCCCAATCTAAATATCCATACAACTGCATCAGTACAAATATACATCTATAAATCTGGATACACATGTAAAAAGAGATCTATTTAGAAATAGATAAATGTACATGTAAAAATAGATGTATCTTCCTATAGAAATACCAATCAACCTATTTAAACAGCCATAGACCTACAACCACATCAATAGAAATAGGTACCTATACAACTCTGTACACAGGAAATAGAACTAAAGAGAGTTCTAACACCAAACTTGTATACTTAGCTACATATATGACCATATATAGAATTACAAACATATATGGACATATATATACATACAATACATCCTTAGATATAACGACAGAGGTACAGAAACATTCCTATACAAATTAGCAACACACACACATGTAAATATTCACGTCATTATCCCTGTCTATGTGCAAGGCCATCCATCTCTAAGCAAAGCAATCATCAGACGGATCCCAGCCGCCCCATCTTCAAAGCCTCTCCCTCAGTCTTTTCCTCCCACGCAGAGCAGCTCTCCTGGACAGGGACAGCAGATGGGACATCTGGGAGGCAAAGGGAACAGCGAGTCAGTGCTGGGACCTTTCCCTTGGCAGCAGCTGCACTTCCAGCAGGGAAGCGAAAATCTCCGAGCCTCCCCAGGAGGGTTGGCAAGAACAAGCAGGCCGAGCGGGCCAGCGTGTGGCGAGCGCAGGCGCGGCGGGACTGTCCCGCAGCCCCCGGCAGCCCGGCACAGCTCCCGGGCCCTGCCGGCACAGCTGCCTTGCCCAAGGACAGCCCCTGTGCCGGCCGGGGCAGCAGCGCTGAGCAGCCCCAGCACGGGCAGGGGCCGCTCCTGCCCGGCCGGGCAGCGCCCACGGCCAAAGCCCACGCCGCCCTCAGCCCTGCCCGGCCTCACCAGCCCTGGGGCCTCACCCAGGCTCTCGCGTGGCCCCAGCACATCCCTGCTCACTGCTCTTGCTCCAGGCCTTCAGCTTCTCCCTGCTGGCTCCTCTCAGTGTCTGCCTGTCCTCAAGCTCTTCAGGACAGCTGTGGTGGCAAAAGTGGAGGCTCTGCAATTGGTTGCAAGGCCTGGCAGAGCTGCAGTCCCTGAGCTCTGTGTGCTCCCTCCTGGCCCCCTCCATCCCCTCAGCCCCGCCGTCCTCTCGGCAAAGCCCCAGCCCCCTCTTCAGTTTCTTGGGCCTCTCCCAGGCCTCTCCCCCCGCTCAGTCCCTTCTGAGCCGTTGTGTCCCCTCAGAGCCGGCACAGCCCTCAGCCCGTGCCTCTGTCACCTCCGTGCCACCATGGCCCTCTGCTCCCCCACAGCCCTCAGTGCCCCTCACACCTCAAGGTTTGCAAGGTCCCTTCAGCATCAGCGCCTCCTCAGCCCCCTCAGTCTCAGCGTCCTTCAGCAGCTCCTCACAGGACAGTGCCTGGGGCCAGCGGCAGCTCCCACTGCTCCAGGGACAGCCAGGGCTGCAACTGCTGCTCCGCCTGG